AGCGGCTTGAAACTGGAGAAAAATATTTTTCACAGTTAAGATGTATAGTACCGCAACGACATTTAAATAACAGTATTAGGTCCTTTAGTTCTCTGCGAAATCTTAGCGGCAAAAGGCCTAGATTTCTCAGTCTGTCCGGGTACGAAACTTCGCGTGGTGGATAATTTAAGATGAACTTAGTCGCTCGCCTCTGGACATTTTCAACCAAAGCTCGATGTTTGGCTGTCGATGGTGACCATGCGCTGGAACAGTATTCGAGATGTGGGAGAACCAGAGAGCAAAAAAGAAGTTTGCGATATATATATATATATATATATATATATATATATATATATATATATATATATATATATATATATATATATATATATATATATATATATATATATATATATATATATATATATATATTACATCTGCGCATGTCTGGATGCGTTGATGGCCCGTACTGTACCACATGCGTTTGGGAGAGCAAGTGTCATGTATATCAATACGAAAGTCATCGCGTGTCTAGATGTGTACCAAGCTGCACTGATGAGGCGTAGGACGCCGAAACATGCATGTCTGCAGATTGTACTATTACGCTCCTTGTACTATTACGCTCCTTGCACTTGTATTATTACGCCCCTTCACTACGGTGTTGTATAGCACTCTGTAGAGTTAATTGGGTTTCCATTAGCAATAATGCAAAGCTCACTTCCCTCGTGGTTGTTTGAGCACTCTGGCCCCATGTCACTCTGCGCATGTCTGGATGCGTTGATGGCTCGTATTGTACCACAATTTTTATTTTGAATTTATTAACATTTGTCACAAAAATTACAATATTAGCGACAGGAGGAGAAACGGGATAAAATCCCAATTGATATCTTCCCCTTACATGCAGTTAAAACATCTAAAGCTATTTAATGTATACTATAATATATATAAAAAGCAATAATGAAAAATTATCTAGTACTAAATTAAGGCGGAGAGTATGTTAAGAGTTTTTCATTGTAAATAGAAGAGAGTTGCCTCCTAAAAAGAGCAACACTCCGATTACAAGTTTTCATCTCATGTGGAAGATTGTTCCATAATTTCACTGATCTTGGAAAATATGAATTTTGATAGTAACACTGTTTGTGGTTAAATAATTCGCGAAGGTTATAACTGTCTGTTCGACGAGTATTATAATCAGGGGCGGATCCAGACCGATGCCAACGATGCGAATGCATCGGTCAAAATTGAGAAGGCATGTTGCTTGAAATAATATATAGACATATTATGCTGTCGTCAATACTTGGTCAAGCACTCAGTAATAGAATATCTTTGAATCTCTCCAGCTATCAAACCGCAAATATTTGCTTAAATTTAACTCCATGTCAGGAATACAATATTTAGAATAAATCCAATTTAAATATTCTCAATAACAGTCGAAATTGTCAAAATAAGTCCAATATGCGACGTGCGATCGCAAATGTGTACTTTTTGTTATTTACTTTTTATTTTGCAACACTTAAGCGTCAATAATTTCGCGACAAAATATGTTATTCTTTACCGCATCCTTTGACGTCACAGTAGAAAGCTGATGCATCACCTACGTCACGGTAGATTTGGTTTGCATCGATTTTCAGCCATCTTGCATCAGTGAATGCATCGGTCCCGAGTCCTTTTCAGCGTGAAATCTACTGTAACATCATCAAATCTATTGTTTTAGAGCCCTACGTCACGGTAGATTTGTCCGCTGAGCGATGCATCGCATGCAGATTGCTGGCGCTCGCATCGGTTCACTGATGCAAGTTGCAAAATCAAAATCTACTGTGACGTATTAAACGAGGCATTCGATTCAATTCATGGATGGCGGCAAGGATATGCAAACACTATATGCAAATGAGACAAATCATTATTTGAAGAAATATCTCTCGAAATTGACGGAGAAAGCGGAGAACAAATTACCGAATTAATTACCAAGGCTTGGAATGAATCTAATCTTTAATTTGAGTACAAGAATTGAAGTATATTTATACTGTGAGATGTCCACTATGTGAAACTCGAACTGAGCGCTCTAAAGTAAGTGAAATTTATCTATATTTTACATTGTAGTTCATTGTTCAGTTCAAGAAGTGTATAAAGTGGAAAATGGGCTCCACAGTTAATGCAGATTTGTTTGTATTAACATAATAATTAAAGTTTGTGCCTATTTAATAGTGTTGCATATACTAGCAGGGGGGGGAGGTGGTGTTGGATGAGGTAGGTTGACATTTTACAGTCTTTACCGAGTAACAGAGGTTTGCTTTTCTGGAGGCAAACCAGCCCCAATACCAAACTTGACAGCTTGCTTTACTGAGGCAAATTTCATCTCTGTTTACATGGGATTATAACCTGTGCCCAGACCTTCATTTTTCTCACAGCTGGCGGGCAAAGAAAAATGAAGATCTGATACACATGTTATTAAACGTTTGTGTCCTAGCTACAACTACCTTTATGGTTGTAACTCTGATTGGCTATTTCTAGCTATTTTTGGAGTATTCATGCCATATTTAATGTATGTTTTTGATATTTTGGTTAATTAATGCTATATATAATTAAATAATTATAGATTTAGTGATTGTAACTATATTTAGCTTGTTGTTAAATTATGTGAAATTGACATTTCTCCTGTCACATTTTGATTGGATACCGTCATACCGATACTAAAAATAAAACTATGGTGTGGGTCAAGACTTGCATCAGGCTCTGTATGTAATTATAGTGCATAATAATAATGCAGGTTAATATTAATGAGATTTCTAATAGTGATGCAATATTGGTTAGAAGACTAAGGGGGAGTTTACATTGAAAGGTAATTGGTTCAAGTTCCAAATTCCAGTGGTATCTCCTATTACATTTCATTTTCATTTTGTATGGAAATGAGCTGGCATGCCTCATGACAAGAGTCTAATTGCTTTGCATTGCCTGAGTTATTGGGCAATTACTGTACACTGGATATTTTGCAAACAAAGATGATTACATGGGCTTGCTCGCCTACCATAGTTGAGTATATATGCTTTGTCTGTGCAAATATAATTTGATATAAGCTGGATATGTCATTCTCCTGACAGATTTTAATCTTAGAATGATAAAATGATGGACGGTATAAATACTGTATGTAACTGTAACTGGTGTATATAGGATATAATTATGAAATTTGCTCACAAAAGTGGGATAGTTTGGAAAATATAATTAATTAAATTATATATTTGTAGTGCTAATTGTCCCAATTCTATATGCGCTGAGGATTACCATTGATAAGTGTATGGATATATTTGACAAAGATTTGCATTTATATAATAACACAGGGAAAATATTCATCAATACTACTGTGCAGCCTTTCTACATTGACAACATCTTAAAAGAATACTATATTAATATTAGTTGAAAGGCAGGCAAAAGGGAACAGATAGAAGACATGATTCAATTATGTCATGGTATATTAATTGTTTATCATAACGATTGTACAGTTTGGTAGGTTCATTTGACAAACAACTTCCAACTAAGATAGTTCATTAAATCAATTTACACACAGTCTCTATTGATTTAAAATTTGTGGTCGTGTGTACCTAGTTATACTAATAGAATTTTTAACCCAGTGCTTGTTGTGTGTTAGTTTACTGGTTTCCTGGTCACAGGGCAATATTCTCAATATTCAGAGTGTGGGCTATTCACCTTGCAGTTCATGTCAAAGGCAGCTAGGGGTGAATGAATTTAATGAAATTGACCAACTGATGTCAACCACACTGACCATACAGAGTAAGATTAGCAGCATAAGACAGAATTGTATATAAATAAGTTTACACAATAGAGCACAAAATACCTTTATGCACCATTCTAATGCTAGAAGATTTTACTCATGGAACATTGGAAATTAGTGGAAACTAATAAGGGAAGGTGGTTAAAAACAACACAATAACACTGCCTTCTGAGTCCAGCAATGCAACTAGTGGATCACACTGCATGTACTTTTATTATACGCATGTGTATATATTTGCGTTGCTCGTGATTTTTCGCCGAAAAATTTTTCAATAGAAAAGTTAAGGCTACAAGAAGCACAGTACTGACTATTTTTGAATAGAGACTTTATGTACCACTGCTGCTATTACACTTGTACAAGCAAATATTGTTTTCTTATATAGAGAAATTATGTTGTTTTTACGATATAGGTTCAAGTTTTTTACGTGTTTTCCAATAATGCAGCAAATAATTTTGTGACTCTGGTGTATGAATTGGAACAAAAGATTTCGCTCAGAACGCAGGAAATCGCATTTTCGAGGTTCTAGATTTCAAAATTTCCCGGGGGAGGATACCCCCGGACCCCCCTACAAATGCGTTGTCTTAGGCATCAGTCAGCTCAGGAACTGGATCCGCCCCTAATTATAATGGGGGCAAACAGGCTTGTATAGACTACCAAAGTCCACGTTAAGTATCCTACATTTATGTTTATATAGAAAAATGAGATCGGAGATCTCTCTCCTAAATTCAAGTGGCAACAGGTGCAATTTTACCAATCAGTCGTTGTAGGAGATATCTCGGCTGTAGTGATTTAAGATGAATTTAGTTGCTCTCCTTTGAACATTTTCAATTAGTGCACGTTCCTTTATTGTGTACGGAGACTAGAGATTTGAAGCATATTCGAGTTGCGACCTTACCAGAGTGATATATAATAGCTTCCGTGTCTCTTGATCTACTATATCCTTGCCGCAGACACGTTTAATAAGACCTAGAGTTCTATTGGCCTTTGCACACATCTGGATGGTATGGGCAGACCACGATAAATTATTGGAGACGGTCACTCCGAGGTCTTTAGTAGCAATTGCCACTTGTAGATCTTGTCCCCCAAGGTGATAATTCGTGTGCATGGGTATGGCTTGGTGTTCGTTTCCTGGACATGTGCAGTACCTGACATTTTGAGATGTTAAAAGACATTTTCCAGTCCTCACTCCATTGAAATAAACTGTTAAGGTTAGACTGAAGTGTAGCAGAAGAACTTCTAGACGACATAGATCTGAAGAGTTTAGAATCATCAGCAAAAAGAGCTAACTTTGATTCACCAGATAAACAGTAGGGCATGTCGTTGGCGTAGATAATGAATAATAGAGGCCCTAAGATTGATCCCTGCGGTACTCCGGATGTTACAGGCAGCCAGTCTGAGAATTCACCCTCCAGCATTACACGTTGACACGTGTGAGAAAGATAGCTGGCAAACCATTGCAAGAGAGGACCTCCGATTCCATGACCGTTAAATTTGTTCAATAATAGGTTATGCGACACTTTATCAAAGGCCTTTGAAAAATCCAGGTGTATAACGTCCACCTCCTGACCGCTCGCTAAAGTATCCAACATATCATGATAGACTGTCAATAACTGGGTTACTGTTGATCGACCTTGGATAAATCCATGTTGAAGGTTATGTATATGAGATTTAAAAAATGGAAAGCAATGATTAAAATGCAACGCTCCAAAACCTTGGAAATGATACATAGCAATGAAATTGGTCTATAATGCATTGCTAGAGTTGGATCATCTTTCTTATGCACAAGTGTGATGTTTGCGCGCTTCCAAGATAAAGAAACATAGCCTTCTCATAAGGATTGGTTAAAAAGCCGACAGAGTGATGGGGCAATAGCATCGGGCCATCGGGTGGTTTTACCAACAACATACCGGGAATATTGTCCGGACCACACGCTTTGTTTGGATCTAAGCCCTTTAAAATTTTTACGACTTCAGATATAGTCAGTTGGATTTCAGTCAGTTGCGTAGATGTCGAAGAAGTAGATTCTGTATTCAATTGTTGGATAAAGTTTTCTTTAGGAAAGAATAAAGAGTGAAAGAAACAATTTAATTTGTTAGCTTTAGCAGCCCGATCAATGATGAATATACTTGACCATCGCGAAGGAAGTGAGGCGAAGCGGAATCTCGTGTAGATGACTTTACGAATGACCAAAAGCGCTTTGGAGAGCAAGCTAGTGTCATGTATATCAATACGAAAGTCATCTAGATGTGTACCAAGCTGCACTGATGAGGCGAAGGACGCCGAAACATGCATGTCTGCCGATTGTACTATTACGCTCCTTCACTTCGGTGTTGTAGAGCACCCTGTGGAGTCAATTGGGTGTCCATTAGCAATAATGCAAAGCTCACTTCCCTCGTGGTTGTTTGAGCACTCTGGCCCCATGCCACTCTGCGGATGTCTGGATGCGTTGATGGCCCGTATTATACCACATGCGCTTCGGAGAGCAAGTGTCATGTATATCAATACGAAAGTCATCGCGTGTCTAGATGTGTACCAAGCTGCACTGATGAGGCGGAGGGCGCCGAAACACGCATGTATTCGCGTCCGTGTCGTATCGGATATACAAACTCGCGCCTTCGGCTCGAGTTTGTATATCCGATACAACACGGCCGCTCACACAGTAAAAACAAATTGGTTAAAATGACCAATTTAAATTGGTTGCAACCAATTTAAATTGGTCATTTTAACCAATTGAAGAATAGGTTAGTCTGACATGACCAATTAAATATTGGTCATTTCGACCAATACATAATTGGTTGAATTTTTAACCAATTTAAAATGGTAAATTTAACCAATTTCTTTTGATCAGTCAATGTTGAATTTCCCAAAATAACCAATAAAAATCGGTCATATCCCCAACCAATTTAAAATTGGTCATATACATAACCAATTTAAATTGGTCATCTCTATAACCAATTTTAAATTGGTCGAATCCATAACCAATTTTTAATTGGTCAAATCCCATAACCAATTGTATATTGGTTAAATGGGTAACCAATTATTAATTGGTCAATTCCCATAACCAATTGGAAATTGGTCAAATACATAACCAATTTTTTAATTGATCAAATCCATAACCAATTCGAAATTGGTCAAATCGGTAACCCATTCTAAATTGGTCAAATCTGATCTGGCAGTGTTTTCTCTTATCCAATTCTGCATGTAATTTATTTCTGTAATGCATCCATACCTTTGTTGGCCTTTGTTGTTTTACTCAGTCAAACACTAGATTTTACTCGTAAAGAGGGGAGACCTTTAGTCAATACACCACAGACACAGTGTCAGTGACAGTGGCTAAAATTTGATATTGATTTTATATTTCAATTGTATTTATTTAGTTTACCTGGTCAAAATTTTGCCGTCCGAGTTAATTTTAAAATCTTCATGAGTTCATGGAAACTTTATTTACACAAAATATTTATAGTGTTTGTCGTGTGACATATAAACATGCAAACGAAAATTCTCACGATCGACGAGCGCGGTTTCGCACGGACAGGCTGGGACCTAGTTTTCCTACAACACGCGCAAAGCCTCCCGGGATAGCGTCATCACACTGACGCCGCCATATTTATTCGAAATTTTTACTATTCATTTTGATTTTTTGTTGCCTGTAAAAATGAGTATTTGAAGGCAAGACGATGCCTTTTAATGAGGATAAAACATCAGGGATGATTGCCCAGCATACAGGTAAGAATATTATTATGTTTTCTATATAATAGAGCAATTTTGAAACGAAATATTTGCAATCTTCATTCGTGAATTTTGAACCATGTGTTCCGGCTTAAAATTTGAATTTGCCGCGACAATATTTGAATTAAAACGATAATATAAATACATTAGTTTTTACAAAGGCTTGCATTTGACTCAGCCCTAGTTTATATATCGAATAATATGACAGATAATTTGTAACAATGTTTCTTGTCTAGAATATTAATATAGCTTTATAATTGGCATCATTCTACATTTCTACTCAATCCTCATATCATGTGCCTACTTAAGCACGGTCCAGCTAAACATGGCTTGAGAGAATTTATTGACTTTAATAATATCAACTGCTACTTTCATAAGTTTCAAATGTTTATTCATATATATATACAGTATAAGTGGGTCGGTTTAGATAAAAATGTCAATTTGATGTGTTATATGGCAACTTTATTTATTGACAGTTAAGTCCTAAAAATGCATGAATAATAATA